CTAGACAACACCTAACAACAACAGCATTTAGGATTACCTTATCTAAGGTATAGGGTGCGGTTCATACATACATGTGTTTAAACATTTCTCTCTGATTGGTGTATGGCTTCAGCCTGTATTACTGCATACTCAGTAATACAGTTATCTTCATCTTATTAGGATGCCTTGAAAACCGATCCAACCAAAGCAGTGGCTTTAGAGGGAATCTGGTGGACCTATTAAATTCAGTGCAGACAGGACAATTCAGAAGGTTATGGTGACTTCTTTTTGGGATTTCATACATAGATGTAATCTTGTAGATTATCTTGACTGACACAAGACAATCATGGGGACTTATTATGAAGATGTTTTAATAAAATTAAAAAATGCACTGGTGAGAAAAAGGCCAGGAAAGTTATGCTAAGAATTGTCTTACCCACCCTGACAATATACCTGCTCATTCCTCAAGAGTAGCAAGGACTGTCCTGTGAGAATCTTGTTGGGAAATCTTATACTATTCACTCTACAGCCCCGATGGTGCTCCTTTAAATTTCTTTTTGTTCCTCAAATTCAAAAATCATTTCAAAGGAGGATATTTTGAGTCTGTCAAGGATATGAAAATTGCCATTTTGACACTTGGTGTGGTGCTGTGTGTTAATGCACTGGACTGACTGCAAAGTCGATTTGAACTGCAAGGTCGGTGGTTCAAGCTCACCACTCGCTCCTAGGAAACCCTATACAAGGTCGCTATGGGTTGGAACTGACTCCACAGCACTTACTAACAATAAACAATATTGGAGAATGAAGAATTCCTCAGGGAAGAGTTTAAGAGATGGAAACATCACCTTCAAAAGTGCATGGACAAAAGTTGGACAATATGTCACGATTCTATAGCTTAGCATTATGATATTTTTATTTAATGAAGGGTGTTATGATTTGTAGTAATACTTACCTTCTTATTTAAGAGATCATCACAATTAAAATAATTTTCTTTTTCACTTCGTTTATCTAAACATAGAATATTTCATTCTAATCTTGAAATCAAAAGGGTTAGAAAATAGCAAAATATAAACTTTTAGGTAAAACTCAGGAGTCCTGGTGTGGCACTGTAGGATAAACACTGGACTGCTAAGTGCAAGGTTGGTGGTTCAATCCCACCAACCCTATACTGGAAAAAGCCGCTGCTGGGTCTCTATGCGTCAGAACCAACTTGACGACTCAGAAGTGAGCTAAAACTCACAGTGAAATCTAATTCTAAATACTTTATTTTGAGGATATAGAAGATTAAAAATCGCTAATTTATATTGGTATTTTTTTAGCAATCTTCATAATAATCATAAAATCTATCTGTTAGGACTCTTAAGTTAGTAATGAGTAATTATTATATGCTGAATTCTTTTAAGTATGAGTTTTTAAATTGTTACTATTAGTTTTACTTACATGATATTTTTCTCAACTGATATTTTAATAAAATGCTAAAATTTTGTCAATTATTAACATTCTTTTTGACCCTGTTGAAGGTGAGAATATTCAATCAAAATATGATTTTTATTCAGACTTTTAATATTTTTATGACAAGAAATAATTTGATAATGTTCTATATTATTAATACATGTATAATTTATATGATATAAAATCTGACTTATTTCCTGAAATTTGAGCAGTTATTGAAAATAACTATTTTTTCTGTTACAAGAATAAAATGTGTTCATTATGTAAAATTTGAAGTTATAACATCTTCCAAGAAATTTTTTTTAACATTTTTATATTTTCCTTCCTAGTACTTTAAGAAATCTGATAAGTTTAGACTATTTTTATTTTAATGGTTTCTATTTTTGCACGGGATACTTAATTGTGCTTATGAGGAATCTGTACATGGACCACAAGGCAGTTGCTAGAACAGAACATGGGAACACTGAATGGTTTACAATTAAGAAAGGTGTGCATCAGGGTTGTATTCTTTCATCATACTTATTGAACCTGTATGCTGAGCAAATAATCCAAAAAGCTGGGTTATATGAAGAAAAAGGTGACATCAGGATTGGAGGAAGACTCATTAACAATCTGCAATATGCAGATGATACAACCTTGCTTCCTGAAAGTTAAGAGGACTTAAAATACTTACTGATGAAGATAAAAGAGCCCAGCCTTCAGTATGGGTTGCATCTTAATATAAAGAAAACAAAAATCCTCACCACTGGACCAATAAACAACATTCTTATCAACGGAGAAAAGATTGAAGTTGTCAAGGACTTCTTTCTTCTTGGATCAACTATCAATACTCATGGAAGCAGCAGTCAAGAAATCAAAGGACATAGTGCATTAGGCAAATATGCTGCACAAGACCTTTTTGGGGTGTTATAGAGCAAAGATGTCAACTTGAGGACTAAGGTGTGCCTGCCCCAAGCCATAGTATTTTCAATAACCTCATATGCATGCAAAAGCTGGACAGTGAATAAGGAAGCCATGGGCTGCCAAAACAACCAACAGATCTGTGATGGAAGAAGTGCAGCCAGAGTGCTCTTTGGAGGCCAGAATGGCCAGACTGTATCTGTCATACTTCAGACATATTGTCAGAAGGAACCAGTCACTAGTGAAGGATATCATGTTTGGTAAGGTGGAGGGTCAGAGAAAAAGAGGAAGACCCCCCACCCCCAGCAAGATGGACTGGCAAATGGCAGCATCAGTGGGCTCAAGCGTGGCCACAATTGTGAGGTTGGCCCAGGAGCGGGCAGTGTTTTGTTCTGTTGTGCATAGGGTCACTATGAGTTGGTACCAACTCGATGGCACCTAACAACAACAATTTTGCCCTAATGTATTTCTAACCAAGATGAAAAGTATTTTCAACTAGAAGTTTTATTTTTATTGTTTTACTGTAAATAGTTTGCAAATGAAAATAATTTTTTCTGTATAATTTTAAATTGGTATGAAGTAAAGGGATTTGTTGTTGTTGTTAAGTGCCATCAAGTCAGTTCCAACTCATAGCAACCTATATAGGATTTCCAAGGAGTGACTGGTGAGTTTGAAATGCTTAACTTGCAGCTCAAACTGACTTTACAGTTCAGTCCTTATCCAACAATGCCACACCAGGACTCGAAGTAAAGATGTAAATGAGGTAAAACTAGTGGTGATAAATATCAATAATTTCAGTTAAAAGGCAGGTTTTAATATATATCAAGAAATATTTTCTGTTTTTCTTAAATTCAGCAAATATGTGATTTTAGTTTTTTAAATGTGGGTTTTTGCAATGTTTGCTTTATAGCTGGTGAGTTGAAACAAAGACAAGAGTGAGATCGATAATGTATGTTGCTGCACTTACAGTTACAGATAACAAATAAAGTGCTGATGCATTTAAATTACTTTTTGTTTCCTTTTACTTTTTTATTTTGGAAACTTTAGTACCCACTTTTCATATTGTTGTACTACTATAAGAATATGCAGATTGAACAAGTATGATAAAATAATACAACCCTGGTGTGTGCCAGGGTTATATTATTTCACATATTTATTCAATCTGTGTGCTGAGCAAATAATTCGAGAAGCTGGATTATATGAAGAGGACTGTCAGGATTGGAGGAAGACTCATTAACAGTCTGTGATATGCAGATGATACAACCTTGCTTGCTGAATGTGAAGAGGATTTAAAATACTTATTGATGACAATCAAAGACTACAGCCTTTGGTATGTGTAGAACCTCAATGTATAGATAACAAAAATCCTCACCACTGGACCAATAAACAGCATCCATATAAATGGAGAAAAGACTGAAGTTGTCAAAGACTTCATTTTGCTTGGATCAACAATCAACACTTATGGAAGCAACAATCAAGAAATTAAA